GTTTTTTAAAGAGGGTAATGAAATATAAACAGGTATTAGTACATAATTCCCAATTTTTTTATTACTATCATGTAATTTCCAAATAAATTCTTCAATTTTTTTGGCTGTAGTACTTTTGCCGGATCCAGCTAATCCATGAATTAGCAATACTGTTTTCCCTTCATATAAAAACTCATTCACTTCTCCATCTTTATCATCAAATTAATCTAAATTCATCAAATTACTGCTTTCATTTTTACCTTTCTCTTAAGTTTTTAATGGTATATAGATGGACTTAAGATTTTTTTCTGCTGCTTCCTTCAACACTCTCCATTTTCTAATTTCAAGTAATTATATAACTGATTTTCCTCTCAAAAATTTGATATCATTCCCCATATTGTTAAGTTACTCTTTTATTTGATTTATTTTTCCCTCAACTCTTAACAAACCCTTTCTGATATGATTTAAAAAATCAGTCACTAACCTGAGTTATTAACCCATTTCGCTGATATTTTAAATGTATTCATCCAATTACTGAGTTGTCTCATCCATTTCTTTCAATTATAGCTCTCTTTTGTTAAGATTTGCCTCCTGGGTAATTTATTCTTACAATTCATCAATTCTCTTCAGCATTTTTTACATCTCTCCTGCAATTCTATCATGTTATGTCTACCAATCTTTAGACAAAATTTCCATCTATAAACTTATTAAGTGTTTATTTTTTAATAAATTTCTAACTCTTTAGTCTTTTTCTAAAACCCATAATTAAATGAGAGTTTTTTAACAAAATCGAGTAATTGTTTCTGTAAAGCTATTCTACGAAATCTAAATTATAGTTAATACTAAACCCTATTTAATTTTCCATTCATCATTTTTTTATTTATCAATAAAGATTTAATCCTATTGATTTGATTTGACTTCAAATTCCTCATCGTTTTCTTGTAGGTATATTTTTTTAGTTAATTAAACAAGTTAATCCTGATTAAAATAAATTTCCTTGAATTCCCACTTAGATATTTTAAATTTTTCTATTGTTTCAGCCATTAACTTATAGAGAAAATCAAAATTAATCGTTGATTAACTAATATTGTTGTCTGATTAATTGACACAAGACAATATGTGGTTCTAAATTCTTGAAAAGTATTCTTAACTTGATTCTTTTTCCAATTATTATATATTAGTAGTTGTGCATATCAATTCCTTAATATGGTTTATATTTTTTTAAAACCAGCTTGAAAAACTTGTATACATTTCATCGTAACACTCTTGTAGAGTAAATTTTGTAAGATTTTAAAGCAATTCGTTCAATTTTTGCTTCACTTAACTTGTTCTCTGTAGTAACATTTATAGAATGTTAATAATGATATATAAATTTGTTCTCATTTTGTTTTGGACATTATTTTCGTCCTCGACAATTTTCTTATCATCTTTATTGTTCTCATCATCATATTTTATTTTGAATTCATCAAATTTTTGTTTTAATTCTTTTACTCTTGTAAAGATTGTCATTTGGAAAATTTCTAGGTTTTGGTTAACAGAAGCTCTCAATATTTTAACAACCATTTAGATCTGACTGATTAGTAATTTAAGTTCTTCTACCACTTCACAATTTTCTAAGAAGTTAATTTTTCTTAATTATAATAGTAATATCTCATACTTTTCTCTCTCAATATTCAAATAATTTTGATTAATATTTTTAAAAGTAATAGTGTCATTTGAAACATCTTTTATAATTTTCATTATTCTTTGAGGAAGAGATAAAGAATCGGTTTCTTCCATACAGAATTCGCCAAATTCCTTTTCGATTAATTCTAAATCTATTCTTACCATTTAAATCATTTATTCTTCTAGAGTTAATTTAAATATACTATAATCTAAAATTCCTTTTTATATTGCTAAATTATTTTAATAGTCTTGTTCAGTAATTTATAAGTTACTTAATTCTGCAATAGTTTATTGATAAAATTAACTGTCACAACAAATTATTCGTTTTGGATAATTCTTAACTACATCAAATAGAAACTCATCCAAATTGATAACATCTTTTAACTTGAAAAAATTTTCTGATGGTATTGCTAATATATTTTACAAGCATTATTTATAAGCAATTAATTGCAATTTAAACTTTAAAATGTTCAATCTTTATTAGTGTATACATTAGAATGAAAGCTTTTAAGAATATTGTTATTTAATTTCTTTTATTTTTTCAGATTTAGAAACAGACTCTATTTCATATTGTAAAATTAGAAATGTCTTAAAACTTAAATTTAATTCATTGAAGTAATTTTGAAGCTCTTAGACCTTTTGTTCATAATAACAATTTAGGTTATTCAATAAAATTATAAAGTATTGAATTAAGTGATCATTTTGAAGTAAAGAGATTTCTAGCTCTAAGACTTATTTTTCAGTTTGTTCAATTATGTTTAAGATACATTGAGCATCTTTCAAAAAATTTTTCTTGTTAAGCGTTGCACTAGTTAAGGCAAGTAACTTTTACTTTATCTTATTCACAAATGAAAATTATTTATCTGCTAGATTTAAATTTGATAATTCCTTTTAAATCTACTCTATCTCTTACTAAAGTATTTTGCTTTCATCCGATTCATTTCTATTATCTTTAATATCTTAAATTGCTTATGATAATATTTATTCTAACAGTCTCATAATATATTTAAATTATTAAAAAAATTTGATTTCATTAATCTTTTTCTATTCAAGTTATTCTATTTCACAATATTATTTCCTTTAACTAAGCTTAATAACTTTAATGATTTTGAGAGTATTTTGGAAATATTCTATAAAGTTTAGATTAATTTTTTTTAATTATGAATTATTAGCGGCTTATTCTATTGTGACATTAAAACACTTATTTTAATTGATAAAATTTTTATAAAATTTAACTATGACTCCCAGTCTCTCATAATTTTCTTAAATTAAAGCTAGTAATTTATTAGAAATGATGAAATCAAAAAATTGTGAAATTTCGCAAACTGCTTAAAGATATTCATTTTTTTAGGTTTCCTTAATACCTAACTTTATTTTTAAATAAGAACCAAATGTGAAATAGATATTATCATTTTGTTCATTCAGTAAGAAGTCTTTAAGCAACAATAGGTTTTCCCATTCTTAGAAAGTGTCTTCTAGTATTAATTTATCAATTTAAGTTAATTCTTTATTTTTAAACTAATTAAGTAAAATTAAGGCTTAGTCATTCCTATGATTCAATTACTTTAGAAATCCTTTGTTAAGATATTCCTTCCAAATGGCCCTTGATTTTGCTTACAAATTGAAAGAGCTAGTCAACTGGTTTAATTTCTGTTTTGTTATTAGTGGATTATAAATTATGATTTTTCCTATCATTTAAATCCACAAAAAATGATTTTTCCAATCACTTGAATTTTTGACAAGATTTTCATGTATTTTCTCAATTTGTAAGATTATTTCTTCTAAATTCTGTTGGTTGTCTAATTTAAAATTATTTATGATCTCCCATTACAACATATCTATTTAAAAATAATCTTCATATTATTTTCTATTTTTCTACACTGTATAATTATTGTAAAGCAGACAGGCTCCCTGGAACAATGATATAAACAAATCGATATTTGGTTTCAAATCAATTATTGAGTTAAAGATACCTTTTAAACAACCATTTAAAATATCATCCCTTTCTTTACCATTATTTGGGGCCATCTGAAAAGAAGTTTTTGTTAGGAAAAGGTAAAGTTCCAATTATATTTGAATTAAATCATTTTTCTCTATTTCCAATTATTATCTTAATTCATCACAAATATCTAAAAATTGCTGTTACGTATCACAGTTCATAAATCTCTTTTCATTTATCATATGGAAGCTAAATATCACTTTAGATAGAGATGCTGTTGTCCTTAAGATGAATAAACATTTAAATGAATCTGTTCTGACGTAGATCAAACAACTTTTCAACAATTTTAGGATTCCATCTATAATCAAGTTGTATGATTTCACGACCTTTTAGGCATTTTTGATGAGTTTGTAAATGTTTTCCTCTTAAAAAATAAACCATTATATGGCTATCATTATTTCTTAAGCTTCTGATTAATTAGCAGCAACAGCTGCTTTAGTGTAAATTGTTTAGACAAAAGAATCAAATCTAGTAATGAAATTGTCTATATCGTAATAATCAGACTTTAAGTATTGTTCTGTGGTGGGAATTATTTTCAAAGACCCACAACCACCTCCACGTAATGGGGATGTTACTTTATTCAATAAGCCTGACATTTTTTGTAAAAAATTTAAATACTAAATTAACACCGGTATAAACATGTTTATAAACCTTCCTATCTTAAAGGAACCACCACAAAATAAAAAATAAAAACAAACCTTGAGTTCCATCCCCAATTGAGGGAATATTTTGTTTAGGTATTTATTTAATTAAATTTAATGTTTATAAATTTACTATTATTAATACTAAAATAATTTTATAAGAATTCATAATAATATTTTTTGTAATGTAACATATAAATAATTAATTCTCTTATTTTTTACATTTTTTATTATTTTCCTAGACCAAAGTTCTCCTGTATTTTAGCTATTCTTAATACTTTTAATAAGTATTGACCATAAATCCATATCAAGTTTTTTATTTTGTAGGAGAAGGTTTCAAAATCTGACAAATTTAGCTCACTAATTATTGTATTTTCTTATGTTATCCATCTTCGTTTAGTATGAATATGGCAGTAAACAAATGGAATATGGAGATTATTTTTTAATGATTGAACTAAAATATTCCCTAAAAATTATTTTCCTTTCAAGTACTGAGTAATTTTTAGTTATCTCAACATAAAACTTAGATATTAAATATTAGTTTTTCTAAAGAAAAGTCTTTATTGTTGGCAAAACCTTATGAAAATAAATTAGAAATACTATTATTTTTTTAATTTATTATATGAAGATGAAAATCAAGCCATAAATCGAAAAAACCTAGTGAAATAACTGACAAGGTATAAGTTGTTCCATTATTTCTGCAATTTAAATTTTTTGGATGGACACATTTTGAAATCTGTCATGATTTCTGGGTAAGCAGCAGGATATTTTCCAATTTAAAGAACACAAACAGTAGATAAAGTTCCATCAAAGCTTGGAATTGGTTGACAATCAGTTCACAAGATGTTCCTGTTAAGTTTTCAGTCCATTTGCATGATGGATTAGTTTTACAAGCTAGCTTATCTTTGCTTGCTTCAGCGCATTCTGAGAAATTCTTGCAAATTTTATTCACTTAATGAGTTCAATAAGGGGTGAAAGCACAAACAGTAGATTATATTCAAATCCACATTCCATTACAAGCAGTAATAGCATATAAAATGAGCAAGTAGCCTTAGGGATATATTTGCTCCATTTGAAACACAAGATTTTCTAGTGATTACTCCCATAAAGTTAGCATTTGATATTCCACCAGAAATATCTTTGCCTTATTTTAATCTTCAGGATTTATTTCCTGTAGTAGTTCTAACTGGTAATGAGAATAAACGTTTTCTGGCTTTTCCATTGAAACATCCAGCTTCAATATAGCTTGAGCAAGTCGATTATGGAATGAATTTGGTTCTATCAGTTGTGCATGATCCTCCTATGACATAGATAAGCTTGCATTAGTCATTTATACCCTTTTTTTGCTCAATTTTGGTACTATCCAAATTTCTAACATTTTCCAATAGGTAACCATCTATAAGCTCCATCAGTTCCAACAACACAAGAGGCCTTTAATTCAGTGGTGGCACCTGATGTAATTGGAGTGCATGCATCTCCCTTAGTTGCTCATAATGGTAAAAAGCTTAGAATTTAAGATGTGTCTTTTTCACTTCATCTTTTACATATGTCATAATGATAACATTATCCATTAACCCAAAGGCATGGCCCAGCGTTGGATTTTACAGAATTATTTATTGGTGAATTCAGTTCATGAGGTTTCAGCAACACAACCTGATCCATTTGTTTTACATCCAGAAAGGAAAGGGTTACATTCAGAAACAGTTAAGCCATTTTTATGACTGCAAACTCTATCTCTGCATTATTTGTTACTGCATTCCAAGCGGATCTACCTACTCCATCTTTATGTGTTGAGGTAGCCAAGCAGACTGATTGAGTCTTGCTTGATGAACTTGTTGAAATAGTTATACAACTAGCTCCTTAAGTAGTACAATTTTCAAAAAAGTTGTAACATTAAGTATTTGAATTTATTTTTGATACTTGATATTCTCCAAGTTGAGTTAAATTCTTACTAAACACAGAACTTGCCATTTACTTTAGAATTTATACATTATGAGTAATTAGTAGTATTAAAGTAGAACATGATCCACTAGCAGCTGGAAATTAATTAGGCTATGTGCATTCTTCTCTTATCTGATATATCACTGCACTTCTTCTCATCACAATTTGATGGAGCCAATGCAGTTGCTGTATTCCAACTTTATATCTTTTAGAAGATCACTTGAATTCAGCAAAAGCTGCTTAATATCCCTTGAATGCAATGCAGTGGGATTCTTATAAGTATCTAGTCTAATTTATTTTTTCAATAATTCACATGTATTTAATTCCTCTGTAAGATTTGCATAGTTCTGTATTTGGAATAATAATTATCACATTCAGAATCTGTTTTGCTATAATATTGTCATAACATGTTTTATTTGTACATGCTGAAGTTGAAGTAGTAGCAGTTGCTTTTGGTCAGCCTATCTTTTCCTGTGAATCAAACAAACATTTTGCAAAAATCTGATGAACCATTTTTCGATGTACATTCAGTATTTATGTAACTAATTTTTTCTGTTTGTCTTGCAAGTTTTTAGATAGCTAAAAAATCAAAATTTTTATATAATGTCCTATCACTAAATAATTTATCTCTAAATTTTTTATTTGAGGATAATTGTGTTAAATTAGGTTCTTGTGAATCATAAGTGGAACAACGAGTACATTAGAAAAGGACCTTCAGTTGGCTCAGAAGAAGAATAATGCAAACCCAGTACATTTAATTGCAGCTGTGACTTGATCACAATAAACCTTCTCATTTCCAATCTAAGCAGTGATAAATGTACATGCTATATCCTGATTATACAATTTTCCTTTGAGGTAAATACATGGCTTTCCTGGTTCTCCTAAATTTTAAGATATAGGATTTTATATATCTTAACATTCAAAGTCTCTACATCAGCAGCTGTGAACACATTTTATATTTCAATCGTATTAATTTTGCTTAAAACAATATGTTTATTTACCTGCATCATTAGTGGTTGGGAAAGCTGTATATTAAGTATTATAGTTGATACAACCATATATGTAATTATCAAAATCTCCTTGACTAGTAGGTGAAGGAATATCTGCACATGTTACATGTTGCATCACTATAAACTTTTGTGTAATTTTCAGCTGTATATTTACAGAATTTACTTCTATCTTTGTATGATTGGGCTAAATAATAAGAAGATTTTAATGCATCTAAACTTGTAGTATTTTAGCTATCCAAACTATCTGTGTAGGTATTGTAATAGCAGCGCAATTTGCATTAGCAGCTAATACACATTTAGCTTTATCACTTGCTTAGCTACAATAATCAATGGCTACTTTGATACTTCTACAATTTTGAGATTTTTAAGAATCTGTTTTAATTTAGTTGGAATTTTGTAGGACAAGAACCAATTATAACAGTAGCATCATAATATAAACATCTCATTCTGCTAAACTTTCAGCTGGATAAATATCTGGATAAGCTGAAATGGTATCACATGAACTACCTGAAATAAACTTAGATTTCTTATAGACTACTGCTCGTTTAGCAATTTTAGTTAAATCGGGAATAATCTTCAATCCAAAACATATGCCTTATTTTTTAGTTGTAGACAAAGTCGATTCAATTTTTTAGTCTATGCAAGCAGTTGTTAACTTTAGACAAGTTAAATCTGATACTTTTTCACATTTTCGTGCAAATGTTAAGAGAGTTTAATGATTACAAGTTTTGCATCCGGTTAAGTATTTAATTTTAACAACTATTCTATAAACTAAATATAGTATCACGTGACATTAATTTACACCTTTATCATTCACAAACTTTTGATATTGAATTAACCTAAGTGTATGCACAAACAGGTATAAGTGTATAACAATTAGTTTATGCTAACCTACATGCTTCATCAGATAAAATTGGGATATTCTGTTATAATTGAGTAGTGCATGATGATGCTGTATAGTTACTTAAGAATTAAGCACATGATCTACATGAACGATTTATTGCTCCCACGTATAACCACATAATAATAAATTGTTATCTTTGATATTTGGACAATATTCAAACTACTACATGCTGCTTAATCAATTTATGGAGCTCCAGCCTTGAAGAGTTAAAGAATCTATAAGTGGATTTAAGATCATGACAAACTTAATCTTATAACGGTCAGTAACATTAGAACATTATCTTACCAAACATCATATTTTTTTCATCCAACCTTTGTCCAAAGTGATGAAAACTTATAAACAACTACTAAAATAACGACAAGTAGTAACTGATCCTGTTATTTTAAACACGTTCTTCATAATTATAATGATTTTTCTAATTCAAAAACGTTGACTTCTGTATCCAAAAGCTATGGAATAAAATAATTAAGTTATGATATTTAACAATCGATTTAATTATTACTATAAATTATTTTATTGTTGTGTTTGCATTATCTTCATTCTTAACTTATTTGAAGAGATATTCTAAAAAGGGATTTGACATAAGTATAAAATTGGCATTCCTAAAAATGATATGAATATTTTCTCTAATGTATGTTTATAATATATATTAAAATTAATTAAATAGTCTAAATAATATGAATCCACTTAATATATAGAGTGAAAATAAGGAGTCTGAATTAAAAGAAGAATAAGCAGTTTAGAATGAGCAGGAAGAAGTTAGAACATTAACTAATTTAAGTATTGAGGACAAAATTAAATAAAAGAAGATTAATGATGATCATCTTGAGAGAAATAAAAAGAGATTAATTAGATAGTTTACAATTCTATTCATAATCACTTTATTTATAATAATAGAAAGAATTTTATATTCCATTATTGTAGGAGTTGAAAATGAACTTTTAAGTGACTTCTAGAGTTTATTCAATTTGAGAAAATCAAAATTAACTGAGTTTGATGAAATGGATTATTTTAATGATAATTTTTTATTTGATATGGCAGGAAGTGTTCATAGGAATGGAATATCTATAATGATATTTACAAATTACTTTATTACTTTATATGTTGGATTCGATGCATTAATTGCTGTAAAAATATTATATACATCTTATTTGAGTGTGTTTATTGTAGCATTCTTATAATTGATATATTCAGATCCTAGACCATTTTGGGTATATGAGAAAGTATCATTATTTATAATAATAAGTTAGTGACTTCCCTTTGTATACCAAGTTATGGAAATCCATCATCGTTTGTTTGTTAATTGACATTCACTTTATTTTATACCGTATATTGTTATAAGACTAAGAATCATACTAGATCATTTAAGACTTATGATTAGAAAATAGATAGAAAAGTAAAAATAGTTCAATTATGCATATCACTATTTGTTTTTCTGTATTCTATATTGTTATTTTTAATGGCTTTATAATATTTGATAAATATGATTTTGGGTTTGATTTATTGCTTTGTATTTTATGCATTTTATGTAACATTTGAGAATTAGATCAATAATATAATTAAGCATTCTACTATAATGAATATTGTAATATAATATAATCAATAATATTAGGATTCAAAACGATATGTGTTTTATATATCATTTTTCTTATTGATAACAGAAACAATAGCAGCAATGTTAATATCAAATGAATATGAATTGGTTAATATTGAATGGGCAAATAATTTTATGAATTGTCTCTATATGACAGATATTAATGCAATGAAAATACCAGCATAATTGTTAATGGGACCACATTTTACATTCTAAAAAACGAGTGTGATATTTGCTTTGATTGGTGCCTTATTTGGAGTTTCACATTGTTTTAGACACATAAATTCACTTGAATGGTATAAAGGAGATAAGAGAAAAAGAATCTTAAGAATAATAGTAGCAAATCTATTTACAATACCTGGATGGATTTTTGCTTTGAATGTTGAATCAATAGCTTTGAATAGTAGAATGTATGAATGGGGAGCTTCATTCTTTTTAGTAAATAATTAATTTGATTGTTTATAGATGGAGAGTGTAGCATTTTTGTTGTTTTATTTCTTTATGTTTGCAATAATCCCATTGTATGTTTTCAAATATTTACATTTGAATGCTTCTAGTTCATCATCATATGTTGTAGTTAAATTATCAGAAGAAGATTGATTTTGTTATTAATTATTATAATAAATATAATGGCATTGTAGAAAGGGAAAAATAAAATAAATCATAGACAGCGGTAGGGAGATTGGATATGTAGTAGTTGCAATAATATGAATTTTGCATTTAGAGATACATGCAATAGATGTCATTCATAGAAAAATTATAAAGAAAATGAAAATAAGGGATTCAAATCAGCTTTATTCTTGACAGAGAGCAATGGTGATATTCCACCAATATCAGATAGATCTAATAAATCTTCTGGAGAGAAAAAAGATAATGGCAATAATAAGTTCTCATTTGATAAATTACCATCTATGGAACCCATTTTGAAATAAATTACAAAAGAAACATGTAAAAAACAATTAAATTAAAAGAACAAAAAAAATATGATTTATTTGAGTTTGAATGGTAGTGCTAAAAATGTGAAAAGATTAATTAATACTATAAAATTCACTGTGCTGAATGCGGAGCTTAAAGGTACAGAAAATTAACAGTATGATTTTTATAACCTAAATGGGGGTTTTTTGATAAAAATGGTCTAAATTCTCTTTCTTTATATACCCAAATTTAGAAGGGGGTTGTACAAAGATAAAGAAAATAATAAATAAATATTTTTTTACTTTATTAATAAAATTTAACTGTTAAGATAATGAAAGACATGTCCAAAAAGATATTCGAAAAGGAGAATTAAGCTGAGGTGTCTAATAACCCTAGACATTAGAATAAATCACTAACTTCATTAGTCTCACTATCATTGATTGGTGGAAATAAAAGTAATGAATTAATAATATATTTAAAAGAAAATGAATTTAAGAGTATGGAACTTAAAAATAATTATAATTCTATTTCATCTCGTCCACTTGTTTTCTGTAAACCAGAATCAAAAATAAAAACTTTAACAACTTCTTCTACATAAAAATAATCACCTATAAAACCAAAATAAGTAGAAACATAATCAAATGAATTGTGTAAATTAATCAACAATTATTCAGAACCTATTCTTGATTATTACTTAGAATTGAATGTAAATATTTATAAAATTAACAAATATAGAATTAAACTCCAAAAAACTTTTTATCCAATCATACAGTAAGTTCTAATCTTAGAGCAAAAATGGTTGATTGGATGGTTGAAGTACTGACTTCATACAAATGCAAAGATTAAACATTCTTTTTAGCTGTTAGATTGATGGATTCTTATCTATCTAAAACAACATAAAAACATATCCCTCAAGATTTACATTTGATTGGTGTGACTACAATGTTTATGGCTTGTAAATTTGAGGAAATCTATCCAGTTAAATTATAAATTGTACATGAGAAGATTGCACACAAAAAACTAACCAAGGATGAAATAAAAGATAAAGAAACATAAATATTAACTACTTTAGATTTTAGTTTTATTGGTATAACTGTTTTAGATGTTATTACAATGGTTCTCTCTATATTAAATATGAATCAATAGTTATATTAAATAACATTATATCTTGCTAAATTGGTAAATTAAATTATATTATTCTAGGCGCTTTATGATTATGAATTTGCCAATAATCATACATATGTATAAATTGCATGTGCTGCTTTGATTGTGACCACCAAAATTGTAGAGTAAATTGATTAATCACTTTCATCTGAAATAGTAATACCATTAATAGTTTCAACTTTAAAAATGGACAACTCTGATGCAATGGATTCAGCCAATAAATTATTGAATTTAGCTAAAGGATTTGATAAACAATATCCAAATCTGGAAAATTTAAAGAAATTTAGTAAATTTCAATTATCAGATATGTTAACAACCCAACATTGATTATTATAAATATATTACTTTTTATATTAATATTTAAATGGTTTAATTGGCTTCTAATAGAAGCTCGGTTGTAAAAGCCATTGATTCTACCTGGAGTATTATACGAACTCTATATTTTGCGATTATTCTCTTCCTATTTACTCTCATTGGTATGAAGAAGGAATCCAATAAATATACAAAAGAAGAATTGAAATATATTATTGATGAAAGTAACAAATGCAATTAATTATTTAATAGAGATGCCATTCAAGAGGAAACCAAAGGATGAAGATGATGATGATAATGGAAAAGAAGGAACTAAACCAAAGATTTTCAGAGGTCTTGGAGGAGGAGCTGATTGTAAGAGTTGAGGTTGAGCTACAATTTACAAAAAACAAAGGATTTTATAGTAGCTAACACAAGTTACTAGTATGACGATTGTCTTAAGAACTCCAGAATTATTGGAATTAAGAAATCTGAACAATAAAAGCCTTTGTTTTATTATATGTATATAAATTTAAAATAATATATTTATTATGAAAAGTATTATTTTGTGATGAAAATACACTATTTTGAATAAAATCAAAACCTTTGAGAAGTATCAATAATCAACAAACTATAAAGTTTATATAAATAATATATATTATCTATAAACAGGATCGATAGTTAAAAAAAGAGAATTCTAAGAACATTAGAATTTTAAGAATTTTTAATTGGAGATTGAGATCAGAAATGCATAAATAATATGTCATCAAGTTCTAAGAAAAGAGTGAGGTACAGGGTAAAATTAAGGGTATTGTGAGATTTGTTAAAAAGGGTAGGGAGTTGTGGATACTGAATCGAATTCCTTTTTAACTTAAATTTGAGGCTTAAAGTCTAGAATCTATTTGAACACTATCTAAGAGGATAGCAATAGGTTTTGTAGGAGTGATTGTTGGACTATACTTGCATTTTTAATTTCTGAAGTTAGAGCCTAGGTCAGCTATTGATATTAGGATGATATGAGTTATTTCTATTCATTAGCCAAATTTAATTGATCCATTAGAGATGGCTGCTTATCAACATAAATCTAGACTTCTCATATATATATATTACTTAAGTAGTATCAGATTGAACACACAATGGTTGAACTTGAAGAGTGAAGGGATTCAAGACTGAAACTTTCACAATACTCTATACTTTGAGCTTCTTTTTTCTTGTTTCCTTCTTTCCTATACGGCCATCCTATTCAAATGCTTTTTGAATTGTTCTGACTGTACAATACTTTAAATGAAGTCTGTTGGCTACCTAGAAAGGAATTGTGAAATACACAATATATAGTGGTATATAGATAAGTAATTTAGTGAATATGGTGAATACCTCTTAAAGTGATAATTTTTCTTTTATTAATAACTCTAAGACTATTTTACGCTAGTCTCTATCAATTTTTTGATATTTTTTGGTCTGCTTAAGCTAGGATGAACATTCTTGTGATTTAACCATATTTAAGGTGGAATCTTTTCTTTTATTAATATTTATAATAATATTTTAAAATCAAATCTAGGTTTTTAAATTAAAATATGATTCATCTTTGGTTATAATATAAACATTAAAATATTTCAAGATTAGATTTTGTTTATATTTAAAGACCTTTTACATTATTTAAACATAATATAATGGTGAATCAACGTAAACCAATAACTTTTAATTAAATAATTATAAAAATAATTAATTCTTGCTTTTTATTAAAATATTACAATTACCTAATATGAAGGTAAGAAATAATAATAATTATTTTATAATTTAAAAATTATGAAAACATAAATTTAGTATGTAATTCAATTAATAGAAGATAACTCTAGCTTATTTTTAATTTGTTTATATTCACTAATACTCTTCTTCTTCCTATTAACATTACAGGTAATTTTTTATTTGTTACAAATAATATTGAAATTATTAATGAATTGCTTACAATGATCTTAATTCTATTCAGTGATTTGTTATGAGATGGTCTTTGAATTTTATCTATTTTAATCTTTCTTATAAATCGAGCAAGTGTCAATAGTATTACTTAGATATGTTTCCTTATCATAGGGTAGTTTTTGTTTCCGAATAAAATCAACTAATTTAAGAGGTTATTTGCTTGAGATAGTTTGATGTTAAAAATCATTTGTTTCTTGTATTTTCTTCTTTAGTAATGTATTCTCTTCTATTAAATGTTTGTTTTACTCTTATAATATTATAATTTCTTTCTTCAATTACTAATAAATAAATAGAACTCATACATTAATCATGTTCTTGTTAATATTATTTTATTGAAATTATTCTAATTATTGTTAGAGCTATTCACAATATAGTTTAATTTATTACTCAGTCTAATAATAATAATTATTATTATACTCTTATATGTTTTCTTATTTCACTCTCATACTTCTATACTTGTTTCTCAAGTTCATGATAATCTTGATTCTGTAAATTTTGGAGTATGGCATCTTTGATGAACAGAAGCTAGGAATCTAGATCTTCGAAAGTATCTGAGGATGGTCCTTCTAACTTATAAAGGTGGTATTTTACTCATACCAGCTTAAGTATGTCTTTTAATATATTTTAAGACATTTTAATTATTTAAAGATATGAATAGAAGACTTGTGCAAATATTTAACAAATAATTCAGCTAAGTACCTAAATTCTTTACATCAAATGAACAACCAATTGTTTTGAGAAATGAAAAATCAGGTTATTATGTGAATCCAGAAGCTGTTGCTCGTCGAATGATAAAAGTTATTAGTTTACATGACGATGTAAAGAATCCTTCAGCAATCACCTTATAATCTACATGGACTGATATTGGTTTGTCAGATATGGCTTATGTAGAAGTAAGATAATATGAATATATATTATAAAGGTTATGGTAGAAGTAGAAAGAGAGTTTGAAATAGAATTCCCAGATGCTGATGTAGAGTGTTTTAGAACTGTCAATGATGCTGTAGAGTATGTGGCAAGGAGCTTTTTCGCTGTTTGATTTAAACACATAAAATAAAATAAAACACAATGCTATTATTGTTAATAATTGGTGTGAGTGCTGTTAATGTTACACTATTCTAAGCTGATTCTGCACTCTACTCTCTTCAATTTTGTCTGATGCGCAATTCTAATAGAGAAGGCAAAGATTGGTTAGAAACTATATTTGCATTATCTGAAAAAGGAAGAATTTACAAAAGTATTGATAATGGATATAAGTGGAGTGATGAAACACTTACTTTAGAAAAGATGGGTATAAATGATTGGTTTTATGAGATCTAATCATCCCCTGCTAAAAAAGAAATAATCTATATATTTGGTAAAAATGGCACAGGAATAAGATCTGAAGATTGTGGATCACATTACACGTGGTTTACATTTCCAAGTAATTATTCAGATTTTAAATTGAATTCAATGGATGATAAGTGGATGCTAGCTTTTTCTAATTGTGAAAGATGTCATCCTCCCTATAACAAAGAAGTACACAAATCAAATGATGGAGGTAAAACTTGGTAATGGATTCTCAGTTCAGCTATGATGGCATCATGGGATAAACTTATTGATAGTGAATTGATACCAGATGAAAGAATTGTGGCATGTCATTTAGAATACAATTAAAGTAGAGTCACATATTCAGACGATTATTACAATTCATATAAGATTATACATAATAATGGAACTGGTTTCTTTTAAACTTAATTTCATATGTTTGTAATATCTAAATTTTAATCTGCCTATAGATTACATGTAGCACCTGCATTTTATGATTATGCTCAAATGATTAATGTATCCATTCCCTTTGAATAATAATACTCCTATACTTTACTAGACACAGAATCAGAATCAATCTTTTTATCTATATCTCATAATCAAACCAATAAGAAACTCACTAATATTTATACATCTGATTATCAAGGATTCAAATTCACCATATCATTGTTAAATAATGTGAGATCCTTGAATACAGGTTAATGTGATTTTGAAAAGATTGAAAGTCTAAGAGGTGTTTATATAGCTAATATCTATGACCATGAGAAACTCAAAGTTGTTAAGGAAACTGATCTTGAGAAATATAAAAAGACAGTAATAACTTTTGACAAAGGAGCTATTTGGCATCCTCTTAAGGCTCCTGTGACTGATGTTAACGGATAATAGACTCATTGTAGTGGAGATTGTTCATTACATCTTTAAGGGAGAAGTGTAAGCAAAATATATAGAGAATCTAAAGCAATTGGATTGATTATGGCATCAGGTAATATGGGATTATATTTGGATGAAAAGAATATTAATACTTATTTTTCAAGAGATGGAGGTATGACATGGTATGAAGTAAGAAAAGGACATCATATCTATTCATTTGGTGATAGAGGTGGCATAATTGTTATGGCCAAATCAAATTCTTTAACAGAGGAATTGTTATACTCTTGGGATGAAGGTTAAACTTGGGAAAGCCTCAAAATTAAAAAAATGATTGTTACTTCTATAACAAGTAGAAGTTTGTACATAAACTTTATAATTACAGGTTTAGATGAAAAGAGAAAAGGAATTATTTTAAATGTGGATTTTACTACTTTACATTAAAGAACTTGTAGTGGGATTTGGGATCCTTTAGATCCAGATAGTGATTATGAATTTTGGGTACCAACTAATTATGAAAATGGTAAATGTTTATTTGGATAAAAATATCGTTATACTCGTAGGAAAAGAGATGCTAAATGTTTCAATCAATAAGATCATGATAAATTGCATTTTATTGAGTCTTGTGAATGTACAATAGAGGATTGGGAATGTGATTATGGATTTTATCATAAAATTGAAGGTGGTCCATGTGTACCTATAGCAACTTTATTTGAAGAAGATGAATATATTGATATTTTGAAACCTCCTGAAAATTGTACAGGTACATACATGAAATCTTAAGGGTATAGAAAAGTTGTAGGAGACTATTGCACAGGAGGGTATTATAAAATAAAAAACTAATTAGTATTGATTTAGATCCAATTGAAACACCATGTTAAGAAGGCTTATAATAAAGTAAATCAAATCAATCTTTACCATAAATTTCAATTAAAGAAGAATAGAAAAATATATAAGATAAATTGAATAGTAATGAATAGAAGAATTTAAGTGTTATTAATAAATAGAATAATTTTTTTGTTATTTGGATATTAGTAAGTATTGTTATTGCTTTTTTTGTGTTTATTTTATATAAAAAAATGAAGGCTAAGTAAACTTAAGTGCCAAAAAAGGATTATTATTATGGTTTTGAGAGAGGAGAACGAATTAGTTTGAGAGAAGATGATGATGGTATCTGATGATTAGGGGTGTATTTAAATTTAATAGAAATATAAAAAAAAATATAAATATTTTTAATAAAAAAGAAAGAATAATGGCAACAGCATTTTAGATGAAGAGACTACAATATGAGGAATAAAACTTAGAAGAGAATTCAGATTAACTTCCTCCTAATTGCTCCTATAAAAAGACATCTAATTTAACT